CTAGGGTATAATCTCGTTGACTTAGAACATGCAGGTGATATAGTCCTTCTGGGTGAAGACGCTGACAAAATGCGGAGTCTTCTAAACATCTTGAGGAGCTGTAATCTGAGAAGGTTCGGCATGCGACTCGCTCGCGCCAAATGTAAGATAATGCTACAGGACTGGAGTACATTGACTCCTGGCTTAGAGATAAGGGGTTAGGTGGTAGAGTCTGTCGATCACTTCACTTATTTGAGAAGTTGCATCAGCCCACCCAATGCCAGCGGGTTGATCGCTGACGAAATCTCAGCACGGATACAGAAGGTTCTTTTGGCATATTGTAACTTACACCATCCCTGGCTTTGTAGACATGATATCCGGCTAACTGGCTGTCGACCAAAGGGAGTGTGTACTGCCCAGCAGTTTATTCTGTCCCCCTTTATGGCTGTGAGACATAACCGCCATTGAAAGTAGAAGACATGAATGAAAAGGCTGGCTAGCTATCTTTGATCATAGATGTCTGCGTTTTATCTCGCGTATTAGGTGGGATAACGGAGTGAGCAATATTGAGGTTAGACTTCGGTCGAATTCTAGGTAGGTGGAAGGGGAAATCAATCGACGAGGTTGTGAAACAGTTGCATCGATTGAGATGGTTAGGACATGTGTTACGCATACCACCGAGCTATCATCTACCTTGACAACAGGCAATATTAGCTGACATAGGATAAGGTTTGAAAAGAGCTAGTAGTGGTCAAACCAAAACATGGCTTCATCAGTCAATGAAATCCACAACAATTAGTTTAAGCTAGCCACGTAGGGAGGTGTACAGTAGTATCCTGGTTGGGGTTCTCGGGATGGTAAGAACCAATGAAGGCTGGAGACATTTGATGATATGGCTCAAAATCGTTCTCAGCTCAGGTGCATTAACTCTTTGTGACTTATCCAATAAGACTCTATTGCTTTTCCATATTGCTATTCTTTCTCCCTCGCTCACACTTCTGTTTACTACCTATCCCTTGAATCTCTCTCTACTCTATTCTCTCGCTTTGTGTGCTATATGGAGTGTGGCAACTCGATCTGGTGCACATCTGTGCAAAGTCCTACTTTGAAACCAGTCAATCAGTCACATCTGCGATGTGGCTGGCTATCAGTGATTGCCAAATTGGTGTTATTAGATGGTTGGAGGCAATTGGCCACAGGAAGCCTTGAACCTAGGTTTCGTGCTTGTTGCCACTCGTCAACAAAGCGTGCTTGTAATCTTGAAGGAACTTCCATCTCTTCTGAGATTCCAACCCCTAGTCACTCAGTGCTTCGGTCAGAGCTCTTAGTCCTCGCACACGACTGCATATGGAACTAGTTTGTTTTTCCTCCTAATCGACAATTACAACCTACGGAAATTCAGACAACTGGAGATGACGCGTTTTTTATTTGACAATTGAGGTAACTAAAGCTACATTGCAATGTACAATAATTCACGTTTCAATCTCAACGAATCTTGTGATTAAACAAGATGTACACGTCATGAATGATTGAAAGACCTGCCTGAGTTGTTCGTTCAACCACATAGATTATTCGCATTTCCACTTTATTTTTATTTTCCAAGTATCACAAACACACCTGCATAAAATTGATCTGATTTTCATACACTAACAGATATAAACTTGTTCTAAAGACGAATTAGCTGTCATTTCCCTGTGCTTATGAAAACAAAATCTCACACTGAACTTATTTTACTCTTCAGAATTATAAACAATTCTCTAGTGAATTCGTGTAGACCAAAGGACTTTGTAAATATCCAATAATCAAAAAATTATATTCTTCAAATTAAGTTTTCTTCTTTTGTTAATACACCAACAGAAGGTAATCTTGATCTAATAGCCAGTCAGTTGTGATACACACTGAGATGTAAGCTGAGAAAAACTAAAATACAATTCGAATGATTCTATATCCATGATGATAGTTATGGTGAATATCTGTTAACAGCAACTGTTCTAAGCTACTATTTTGTTTGTTTAAGTCACAGCATTGGATTGAGCTCATACAAACAAAATCAATCGGTGAGGCTATAAAGTTACATAGATTGAGATGGCTAGGTCACGTACTGAGCATGCCTAACCATCGCCTACCCCGACGGGCATTACTAGCTGATATAGGTGCAGGTTGGAAAAGAGTAAGTGATGGCCAAACAAAAACATGGCCTCATCAATCCATGAAATCCTTAACAGTTAAACTGAGTCAGGTAGGGAGATGCAGACTCCCGGGTTGGGGCCCCCGGGACTCTAAGAATCAATGGCTGGAGACAATAGGTGACATGGCTCAAAATCGTTGTCAATGGCTTACACAGATGTATTCAGTCTCTGTAATCTTTCATATTCCTTTCTACCATTACTCATTCTGTTTCACTCTTATACTTGTCAAAACTCTATCGATTCTCTTCACCCATCTTCTTGTCTACGTTTGTGTGCTATTTGGAACGTGGCAACTCGAACTGCTGCACTTCGGTGCCCAGTTCTATGTTGAACCCAGACAGAGACAGACAGACTATTTTGTTTAAAAATCAATAATAGAAATCTAAAAATCAATCATTTGTAGAAATGACTCATTGCAGTCTGTGTCTACTTTCTGGTACGTCTACTTGAAATTCAGTCATAAATACATACATACGCTTATAATAATAAAACAACATTACAAGAAACTCAAATGTATACTCATACTCATTTGAAGATGATGATGATATAAAGTTTTCACTAACTGGTGTAGTTACAATTTAAGCACCATAAAGTACCACAGGATGCCGACCTCACCAATAACCTTAGAATGCTTAGTCAGTCAGTCAATCAGTCAGTTGATGGGACCAGGGAAATAACACTCTATAGTCATGAACAAAAAATATATACTTAATGAAGTGTTATAATTTTAAACGAGGTATCTGGTAAGTTTTAGGTTAGGTTTGGGAAAGATTAACTTGAAGTTAAGGCTAAAGGGAGGTTAGGGTTATGTAACCTTTATCATAAAAAATATTATGGTTGGTTCGAGTTAGGGTTAGCATTAGAAGACCTAAATGAATACATGTATTAAGTGCACTTTTATACTCTAATAACAATCCAATAAAAAGTATCAATGCATACAGACAATTATGGTCATCAATTTGATTGGGATCATGTCGAAATCTTAAACAGAGGAAACACGAAAAGTGCCAGAGAATTCCTAGAAGCCTGGTACTCAAGCGAAAATGCGATTAACAAACACGTTAATATAGATGAAATATACCAATTAATAAAAAGTAAATCAGGTGACCAAAAAGTTTAAAATCCAAGTCAATAGAAAGTGGTCAATACATATGTAAAGATAGTAACCAGGAGACGCAATTACATCACGCATGAAGAAATTTAAATCATTTCACTTTGTGCTAAATATGGCGCTGAAGATGTTGTCTAGAGGGACGACGAAAGCTTCGCAACTAAACCAACCAGCTCAGAGAACACTTTTAATTGCAAATCATCCACCTGAGCTACAAATCTTCTCTATTATTTCAAAATCCAATAAAAAAACTGAGAGGCATTTCTATCATGTGTTAGAGGAAGGTATCCTGTGTAATAGTTTCGTGTCTTCTTTTTGTCTATTATTTTCATACATACATATGCAATTTATACGCAAAAAATCGCGTTCTAGGTCATTCGTCCAGTGCTACATTTTAGTGGCTAACTTCGCTTAACTTCACATAAGTATTTAGTTGAAATATAGATTTTCCCGTCGATTGGTTGGACCGGTCTCAGGTTGACAGGTCAGCTTCTTGTGCAGATGCTTCCAACCAATCGACGGGAAAATCTAAAATTCAATTAAATAATTAATATGACCCATTGCGCAAGAGGTGACTCTCGTGGCCCAAGTGGTCTAGTGGACAACGCTTTGGCGTTTGAAACTATGGGCACTGGGCTTGAGCCTCCGTGGGAACATCACTCACTTGGAAATGCAAGTACATCCAGTGACGAGTGCCAAGTAGGACGAAATGCGCGTTATCCTGGATTACACTGCTAGTCACCATCCACCAATTAAATCCACCTGAGTATATATTTGTTGTTTGAACCCAACTCGCCGGAAACTAAAAGCAACATTTATCGCGTGACGGCTGATGATACTACTACTTAGTTGCCCAGCCAGGCTGAGACTCGAACCCATGATCCATTGGTGAAAAACACCTTGTGGTTACGCAGTAACGCCACATCTCCATGATAATAACAAACAGTCTTCCATCTAAAAATTAACTAACAAAATCCCATACTTATATATATATTTGTTTACGATCATTAAAACCAGTCACGAATACCATGTAAACTTCATAAAACAATCGAAACTATTTACTATTTACTCCAACGCTAGTCATATATATGTATAAGCTAGATGCAAAGTTGGATAACACTCAAATACACACACACACAAGTAACTGCTGTAAAAATACGATCGAAACATTGAGATTAACAGACAACCAACTACTTGGATAGTTGTCATGAAACAGCTCAGATAAATGACGTTATATGAATGAGATGATATCTGAATTTCAAAGTAAGATTTAGGTAAAATGACTTGAACATTAAACGAATTATTATTTTTTGTTGTTGTTGTTGATAATATGACATACTATTATTAGTTGATAGAAGAAATCAATTGAAGTGTATAGATTGAACAGATATGTAGTTTATTTGACAAAAGTATTTAAAATCCTTGAATTCCAGTTGAACGATCAGACTTTTTAACATAAACAGATAAAGATCTTACAGTTTTAAATATTTGACACATAAAATGGTCACTGGAATAATAATGCATCACAGGATGATGACGATAACGATAACAATAATGACGATAAATTATCACACACATGTTCAACGGAGGTATTTTGAAGCTAAAAATTTGTAGTGTTCGCTAAATTTGATCACACTTTATTATTAATGTATAGGAGGTGTATGGAGAGCGATTTTGGCGCTAGGTTCGAACATAAAACAGTGTGAACACTGGCCAGAGTATCATTGAACAGCTTCGTTTTCAGATGTCCATAACTAGAAAAAATAGGTTTATTAAAAAGAAGAAAATATGATTAACTTACAGTCAGATTATCACGAAGCAACTGCATCACTAATGTACTGTCCTTGTAGGCATCATTGTCTGACATTGTTTGATCTAACTGTCCGATAGCTTCATCGAAGGCAGTTTGAGCAAGATTACACGCCTTTTTAGAGTCGTTTTCAATCTCGTAATAAAATACAGAAAAATTCAGAGCTAAACCTAAACGTATTGGATGTGTAGGAGGAAGCTCTTTGGCGGCTTTTTCTGTTGCAGCCTCATAAGCTTCTTTAGATTGTTTTACAACTTCGCTTCGTTCGTCGCCAGTTTGAACTTCAGCCAAATACCGATAGTAATCACCCTTCATTTTTTGATAAAATACATAGCCTTCTGGAGTTTTCTCATTGGCGATAAGAGTTTTGTTTAATATGTCCTGGGAGGATAAATATATCTGGAAATTATGAAACTTACTAAGACTTCACCGCAAACAGCATTTAATTCCTTTTCAATAATTTTACGATAGTCCTCAGCTTGTTTCTTCTTACTGCCCTCCAATCTTTGTTCTACGTTTGAAACGACACGCCAAGATGATCTTCGTGAACCAACCACATTTTTATAGGCGACTGAAAATAGGTTCCTTTCCTCGTTACTAAGTTCCTTTGAGGCCTCGGTAACTTTTTTCATAGCGCATGCCATATCATTGAATCGTTCAGCCTGCTCTGCAAGTTTAGCTAAATGAATTAGCATCTCCTTGTCAGTTATGTTAGAACGATTAACCCAGGAATCATCACACATGTTTATGACTACGGAAGTACACTGGAAATTTGTCGAGAATGTAGTAGAATGTCTGAATTTGGAAGCACAAAGGAGCGCTGAATGAGTTTAACCACCTGAAATTTAAACCCAACACATATTTAGTTAGAACATACACGGACTAACAAAACATCTAGGATGGTTCGCATAAAGAGAAAGGGAAAAATCAATTTCCTATGGAAGAGGACTACTTACCGAAAGATTCAACACATAAAAATACCCCACTCATAATAAATAACTTCTGATACGAAATGGCTTTCGAACAACTCGTTTCGGGGACAAATGATGTATCCAATAGGAATCTACACCCACTTTTTGTCATCATACTGATGAACTAAAAACAGTTGTTAACCAAACGAACCTAGATGCTCATGCAAGTCCTGTGGAAGCAAACCTCAGGCTTAACTACAAGCCACAAATATTTTGGTGGTAACGGGCAAAGCGTTTACGTATACTTTGACAATTTCCTTTAAAATTATTATTAGGGTGCGTTAGAACACAAAATGTTGAGATTATAAAAAGGTTTCATGAGATGCAGTGATCACTAGTGATCACAGCTGTAACTTAAATTACGAGAGAACCAGTTGTTGAAATTGTGACAGCAGAATCTCAGAATCATGAAATATGTGAAACCTTATGCATTAATTCCCATTTTCGAAGTGACAGTGCTTTAGAGACTCAGTGAAAAAACGACTAAGGTCTAACCATTGGTAGTGACTACAATATAAGTAATAATATAGTGAAAGTACACAACACGTTTAGGGTAGATACGTCAATAAAATGTTTATGCTAACAGTAAGTGATATAAAGTTATCAAGTACAACATTAACACCTGGATAGGCAAGTTGCTAAAATCACTAACCAATAGTGGTTGCCAGGTTAACAGTGCGCGCTTGCAGTTCGACAGAGAACAACCGCCAGATGAAGTATTTAAACAATTAGTCCCATATTTCACTGCCAAGACTGTTATGTCAAATCCCCTTGGGGGCTTTTTTATGCATATCGGACTTGTCTTCACAGCTCTTTATAAGAACATGCTGCGACCCGTTTTGGATTTGATTAACAGTAACTTCATGATATACTACTGGCTATTATACCTTTGAATTTCAGAAAAAATGGAGGAACACAACAAACCAATACTGAGCTTTTCGATTACGTTATGACCAGCTAGTATTATTTCTCTTTTTTATGGGATTTGGGGCCTAGTATCACAGTCATTTTGCCAAACACTCGGAGTAATTCTAGTGAGCTATCTATTTATACTGTGCCTCTGTAAAATTTGAGAAACTGTGTACTTCATTAACGTGATATAACAGTGTTCCTTTCTTTTAGGTTGAATGCAGTGACTAATTATCAGACAGTGTAGATGGACCAAACATAAGTGAATAAGCACTGAACTTGTGCCCTGAATCTTCACGCTTAAATCTGTATTCATATTCGTTATAATCATACACCTTTTGCTTCTCGTCTGGGTTTCGTGTTCTTTCTTGTGTGCTTCACTGTGTCACATCTGTTGGTTCTTCAGTGTGTGATCTTTCTTACTTTACAGGCATGCGGTGTGTTACAACTTCAGCATCACCACGAACCCCATTTCCGATCAAAATGTGCCACCTGCAGCATTCCCTCTAAATTCAAAGTCAGTGCGCACGCATCATCGATACAGGCCGCTGTCCAGAGCTGATATCCTTCGAAGTCGGCGTTGATCTTGAAATCCTTATGCAGTGTGAACCAAATTGTTTCCCACTGCATAAACATTATCTGCAGATATTATTGGCTATCACTGATAACTCTGGGGGATTTGGGCAGGCCACGAGTGAAATATTTTGAACGGATGCTTTGGGTCAAATAAAAACTCTTTTGCCCATATGAATTCATTCCTGAGCAACTAGCAGCAACCAGATAGGGAGGCCTCAGGCTAAGACAACTTTCATCCGGGGCCTTCCCCACACTGCCCAATACTAGCAGGAGCAAATTCATATGCTCCTGTTCAGCACAAAGTCTTCAAGAGAGTTGTTCAAAATTTCATGTCACTCAAATCACGGCGGTACCAATCCCGCGGCAAGTTTGGATCACTGTGGAAAAAGAATTCTTTTGACATTATGCCACGGTATGGAGCCCAAGTGGCCTCACTCTATGAAAGCTGAGTGATGTTTGTGGGTCGATTGGTAGGGCATGTTTCACCTATCTTCGGCATTCGGAAGACATCGTATCATCTTCAGGAGGTTGCTTTGGTAGAGAGTACAAACAGAACAGTTCAAGCAGTATTTCCTGCCACCGTCAATAGCACATCAACCGATTGCGTCGGTGGTACAGCGGTTAGGACTCTCGCCGATCATGCACACAGTCCGAGGTTCGATCCTCTGCCGACGCACACCCGATATCTATGGTCGGCCTGCTAAATTTGGGCTACCGATATCACACGCTGAAAGTTTCGTACTTGTACCAAAATACTGTGTGGAATCAAGCTACAATAAAGTAAAGTAAAAAGATACTCGCATACGGGAAATCTACACACTCGTAGACTGGCTTTTCTCAGGCTCATCTTAATTTCGGTCATGAGTTAATTTTATCTAGTGAAGCCTAGACACCACTTCTCCCCTAGGAGACCATGGAGTACAATCAACATATTCTAAGGTCTTCAAAGAATATAGCAGCCTAATGTCGAATAGCGTTCAAACATGCACAGTCTGCAGTCAGAAAACAAACAATGAACGACTAGTCTATATTGCTATTCCATTGGGTTTCGAGTGGAACAGTGCTTCAATAACACACCACTCCACTCTGTTCTCCACAATCCTCTCTAGCGGGGTCCACGATCACCAGTAGTCTCTCATCATCTCTTCACACGTTCGTCTTCACGTCCTCCTCGAACCAATGAGTGACTCTCTGTTTCCCATTCCGGTTCCACTCGACAGCCTATGGCGTGATATCAATCAGTGGTCTCCCCAGCGCATGTCCAATTCACTTCCACTTCCTACTCACACGTGTCGGCCAAAAGGTCCTGGGTGGTTCAGACTCAAGATCTCCTTGCCGTTAATTCTTCCGTGTCATATAATCTTCAATATGCAGCGAAGGCATGTGCCGATGGAAGTCTGAGGCTTATTGAAAATGTTTTTCTTGATGCGCGAGTCAAGAAGAGAAGAATTCACTTGACCCTAGTGTTCGAAATCCAAATCTTGTTCTGAGTTATGTGCGGTAGGTTCCCACGATGATTTCAGAGTTTTGAAGGTTTGTCTTAATTTTTCGACCCTGCCTTTGGAATCCTCATTCGTTGAACCTTCGATTGAAATGATGCTGCCCAGTCGGATAAAAGAGAAGACATCATTCCGAATTCTCCAGCTCTAAGTGAAGCCAGCATGTTGTCATTGGCTGGCTATCTTCATCTCCTCAGCTTACTGTATTATCGATTGAGGTTAAGCATTTGTTATTTATGTGAATATTATGACCTGGTAGACTACGAGCGAATCTAACTAATGCGCTGGCTAATCTGTCCTAATCGCACGTCAACAACAACAACAATACCGCCGGGCACGCAAAGCAAAGAAAGAAGACTGGACGTTGATACGAGAGCTTTTAATGTCCCCAACAGCAGTCGAAATGCTAAACAAAAACTCCGTATTTATACAGTTAGGAAAATCAATGTCACATTTTAAAAATATTGACAAACCATGGGAATTCAGTAATTAAAATCAATAATCACGCAGATGCGGGAAATCAATGATTATGCTAGTGTGGGAAATAAATAATGAATATTAATGATTCACCTGTGTATATATTACCTCCCCCTTTTAAAAGGAATCTTGCAAACAGGTTAGTATCTTTTTTCCTTGGGGTCGATTTGGAAATGAACTGTTTGTGTTCGTTTGCGCTGGGATCGTCGGCTGGGTAGCATCTCTTGTTTTGCTTCTGGTTTAACTGGTGGTATTTTGAAAGTTTCCAGTAGTAAATCCAGTGGCAATTTAGGTTCTTGGGATGTAGTATATCGACGTCGTATCTGATTTTTGTGTCTTATCCACCATTCATCCCCAACTTTAACCTTGTACATAAGAGTTCCATGTCAACATTCTATCAAGCCTTCGGCCCATTTTCTGTTCCTCGGTCGATAATCGCGCACATAGACGGCATCACCCTTGCGGTGATACTTCAGACTATTTCTTCGTCGATGTGACCAAGATGGTATTATGGAGTGGTGATGAGTTCGTAGCATTCGACCCATTAGAAGTTCTGCAGGGCTTTTCTTCTGTTCTGCCAGTGGTGTAGTTTGGTATACAAAAAGAAAGTTTTGTATTGCTTCCGGTTTCGCCCCTCCCTCTGCTTTCAACAACGCTCGTTTGAAGGTGTCGACAAATCTTTCTGCCTGACCGTTGGATTGAGGGTGATAAGGTGGCGTCCGCACGTGTTGTACACCGTTTCTCTTGCAAAATTCCTGGAACACTTGTGAGGTGAACTGACTGCCATTGTCAGATACGATGATTTCTGGTATACCGTGACATGCGAAGATCTTTTCCAGGACTGATACTGTTCTGCTGCTAGAAGGTGGTGTCATTTGTACTACCTCCGGCCATTTTGAGTAAGAGTCCACGAGGACCTTCTATCGGCCCAGCAAAATCCACATGTAGGCGGGACCATGGTTTTGACGTGGGCCATGCTCTCGGTGGCTCCCGCGGCGGATCTTTGGCTGCCATGACAGACATCACTTTCAGTTTTTGAGCAGAGCCTGGCTTACTGGAGCTAACAGTTGCTACTTTGTTGCTACCAGACATCGAAGCACTTTTGGCACAGCCATACTCACTATGACGATTCGAAGTTGGTTTTTAGTTAATCACGTCATTCCTTCTAATGTGTTTAGGTCTAATATATCTGTCTCTTATTTCTGGCTTTCTTGTTGAGGGTTCAATACTTTCGATCTTGTGGCATACACTGCTTAACGGAATCTCTGACAGGTGAAGCTTCTCGAACCAGTCTAAACCCAAGAGGCCAAGGTTTGAATTATTGATGTAGCATGTGCCGACGAAATGACTATCGCGAAACCCAATGCTGCATTTAATTCCTCCATTCAATCGAAGTCTTCCACCGCATGCACTAATTGCTATTTGATTTGTCTTCTCTATGGTAGGGCATCCCAACTTCTGCCATAATTTCTTTGATATTATTGTAATATCGGATGCTGTGTCGATTTGTAGGCGTGCCGGCCGTGTATTAATCGTCAGATCGATATATTTGCGGGGTGCTGGAGTACTAATATGATATGTGGCAGTAACACCCAAAGACTTGGGCTTGTTGCGTCGTCTGGGTCGGTTGTTGCGTTTGCAGTGGCCATCTTTGTGACCAACAGTATGGCATTGACGGCATTTATGCTGTTTGAATGGGCACAAGTTTGCAAAATGCCAGGAGCCACAGTGCCAGCAGGCTGATGGTGGTTTATGCTGAGGATGACGCGGTGCGGTTGATGTCGACGGTACTGGATGCACCGCATGCACTTCTGCTGCATTTTGGCTGCCAGACTGCACCAAGACGGTATCGTTACGAATGTTCATTGAACGCTGATATTCTTCACCGACGTCTTTCAAAGTCATTCGTGGATCTTGTTCCAGACGATTTAATAGGCGTGTGCGTATATCAGCAAATTTGGGTGACTGCAAACCACAAATGAAAATCAATACCTTGAACTGGTCTTCTGAGAGTGATTTCAATTTAAAACGTTCACACGTGCGATTGACTATACCCAACTGAGTATGGATATCATCATTTTCGTTCAAAACTAGTTTCATGCAATGATATCGAATGTTGAATGACGATCTCTGATCACCAAACTGATGACGAAGGGTATGGACAGTTTCATCGAATGATCTTTCATTGGGCTTCTGTGGGAGAATTAAGTTGCAATATTTATCTAGCTCATCTGCTCCCAATTTACGAAGTAGAAGCCGTACTTTCCAGGCATCATCTTTATCCGCGAAGTCTACTCGAAATAGGTCTTCATATCTGCGAAACCAGGTATCAAAGGTCACGTTCGCATCTGGACCATAAACGAATTCTGAGATGCTGCTACCAATGCTGTCGTTGGGTGTAGATGAATCTGCAGGGCGTGATATCTGTAGACCAGCAAGCATTTCCATCAATTTTAGCTGCTGTTCCATTAGTTTCTCTAAACGCAGTGGGTCCATCTTCAGCAATCCCGTCGCCAAATTTGTTATGTATGTGAATATTATGACCTGGTAGACTACGAGCGAATCTAACTAATGCGCTGGCTAATCTGTCCTAATCGCACGTCAACAACAACAACAATACCGCCGGGCACGCAAAGCAAAGAAAGAAGACTGGACGTTGATACGAGAGCTTTTAATGTCCCCAACAGCAGTCGAAATGCTAAACAAAAACTCCGTATTTATACAGTTAGGAAAATCAATGTCACATTTTAAAAATATTGACAAACCATGGGAATTCAGTAATTAAAATCAATAATCACGCAGATGCGGGAAATCAATGATTATGCTAGTGTGGGAAATAAATAATGAATATTAATGATTCACCTGTGTATATATTACCTCCC